CTGTCATTACGAGGAAGTATATTACCAACTCTCATGGTATGAAGAGGTGTACAATAACAATGTTCACACCTTAAGATATGAACTTCTTAAGCGAAATCTGCGTTATCCCATGCCAAATTTCCTATTGTTAAATCTATATATAACCTGTCAAAAAGAATTCTTTTACAATTTCTTATGGCTTTCATTCTGCTTTTTCAAGTGAATTTTTTAGCATAGCATGGCAAATCAAAGTCAGCTACTTCAGATGCCTTATTAAAAAAAAATGCCAGTGTTCTTAAGAAAATATTTTTAAACTTTGTACAAAGAAATATTTTTTAGTCTGATTACATGTGCATTCATGGACTAGTGGATCCTTAACTTTTTCATATTTGTGCAGCAAATCATTCTGCTTGATCTCTCATTTTGCTGGTCCTTTGGTGTTAAATGGTCCCCAAGTGGCAATACTTTAGCTTATGTAGGTCAGAGATTCCTTTTCTTTCTCCTATTTCAATACTTATATAAATATATAATGTAAGCTGAAACATCTAATATGGAGTACTATTTTCCAGCTATAAGCCATCTCTTAAAGTTAATTTTATGCACTTGAGAACTTTACTAATGTTGACTGATAATCCATATTTACTGCTGGGAGTGATCCCTCAGGGCATAATTCAATGATTTACTTTGTTGATGAAATTGGTCCCTCTCCTTCTGCACAAAGTGTAGCATTCCGTGATTTGCCGCTTCGCGATGTGGGTCAGCATCCACTCTCATTTTACTTAATTTCTTCAGATTCTATTCTTTCAATTCATGATCAACACAAATCTTTCAGGTACTGTTTGTTTCAGAGCGGATGGTCATTGGAGTTGGATATGATTGTAATCCAATGATTTTTGTGGCAGATGAAAGACGATTATGGTATGTCCGTATGTTGAATATATAGAAGAAGCATTTTGGTTTACTGGATACATGATTCCTTTCTTTTTCTGTTCCTGTTTGATCGTTATTCACTTATTCCAGCCTTGTTTAATTTGTTAACACATAATAGTAATTTACATGGAAAATAAAAAACATTATAAAAGTTAAATAGAGCAATTACCTCAAAGATAAATTGGCAATCCATTAAAAAGTTAAGATTTTGTTTTGGCTGTTTTGAAAGCAAATTCCTTTATTTTATCTTATTTAGGAGTTTCTTGAGGTTCCTAGATGAAAGGAAAACAGTATCTTCAAGCCCAAAGTCTCAGGTATTTTGAATTGGCTTCACGCATAATTTAATGGCTCCTCTCAAGCCTAGTTAGTTGAGCTTTGTCACGGTTCATTACTTACATTTATCTACACATCCAGTTTTCAGAAGCATTTGGGATATTTTACAGCCAATCAAAATACGGAGCAAATAACAACTCAGTTGAGCAATCACGAACCACCCATGAAAACTGCATCAAGTACTGTTCACATCAAATATTGTTTTACATTCTTCATTTGACTGTGTAGTTAGAGACACTTATCTTTCATTATTCCGGAAACTTCCAGTTGCATTTTACCACTTAGGAAATCTGGGGGACATAAGAAATCTTCGAAATCTGTAACCCGTTTCAGCACTTCAGGTTAGTAAGTTCGTATCATACTGTGCTTCTCATCATTTCATTCATAATAAATTTGATTTATTGGTGTCACAACCCCTGAAACTAAAGCTTATTTGCCATTGGCCCCTGAACAGGACTGGACGGTAGAGTAGTTACATGGGATTTGGGGAAACAAGAAGATTTGTCTGAATACCTATAAAAGTCCCTGAAAGCATCCATGCCCGCCTTCTGTACAATTTTTAGTACAAATTCTTAGGCATAGGTGAATTAGAAATTTCATCTTCATCTACCAGAAATAAAAGTGTATTGATTTTGAAATAGCGTAAGTGTGTATGTTCTGTAATGGTTTGAAAGAAGAATTTGCAACTCATAATGTCAGGCTCTCACCACAGTTTCGTGATGCTTTTATGCTGTACGTTGATGAACGGCACCTGTCAGCATATTGGGTTTCCTTTTTTCCATTCTGTACCAAGTGAAAAAAAAAGTTTGTAGTGATAAGTGTATGATTACGAATTGTTAATTTTGTATCTTTTTTTGTGGCTCAATTAGCAAAGGATACATATATAAAGATAGTTTGATACGATCCCACATCGGCTCCACAAAAGATTGTAGAGTGGTACTTAAGTTGGGGCTAAATTTTCACTCATGAGTTAATTTTTGTGGTGGAGTTAGGGTCTTGATTTGAGTACCGTATAATGATACGATCCCACATAACTCCGTGGAATGGTGCTTAAGTTGGGGCCAAACGTCCACTCATGAGCTAGCTTTGTAGTGGAGTTAGGGTCTTGGCTTAAGCATCGTATCATTTGGTCCTCTTGTTGAGAGGATGGGAAAGGGTTACTTGGAGGAGGGCTATTCGGTGCGTGATAAGGTTCAAAGGGAATCGAGAAGAGTCTGGAGCTTCCGCTCCACTCATCTGGTGCTTGGGTAAGGTCTGGAGTGAAGCTATCTAAAGGAGAAAAGAGCCTACCCGGAGTATGAGCTGTCTAGAGAAGTTGGGGTCCGCTCCACTCATCTGGTGCTTGGGTAAGGTCTGGAGTAAAGCTATCTAAAGGAGAAAAGAGCCTACCCGGAGTGTGAGCTGTCTAGAGAAGTTGGGGTTGTCGCGGACGTCCCCTTTTCAAGGGTTAGGTAATGATACGATTACACATTGACTCACTCTACTCATGAGCTAGCTTTTATGGTGGAGTTAGGGTCTTGGCTTGAGTAGTGTACTCAAGTCAAGACCCTAACTCCCTTGAGTAGTGTACTTAAGCCAAAACTTTACCTTCACCATAAAAGCTAGCTCACTATTGAAGATTTGGCCTCAACTTTGTGGAGCCGATATGGAATCATATCACAATTCAAATAAAAATCAATGCAAACACGTATCAATTTCTTGATATGCATAAGTGTTCAAATTATGAATTTAAAAGTGCGTCATGTGAAACTACAAAGTGTGCTTAGATGGTTGCACTTATCATTAAGTGTACTTTGTAGTGTGATGACATATCATGTGAAACTACAAAGTGTGCTTAGATGGTTGCACTTTTACTATTTTAGGGAGTAAATATCATTAAGTGTACTTTGTAGTGTGATGACATCCCAATTACTATTTCAAATGTGTGGTCATAGGTATGAATTTTAGTGGTGAGTGCTTAGATTCTTTGAACTGAAAATGTTTGAAAGTGGGGACTGATCTGATCTATTCATTTTAGTAGATTAACTGTTGAGAGTTGCTAAAAAATAATGGAAAAAAGTAGTTACTTTTATAAATATTGCAAACTTGAAAGTTTGCAATAAATATAAATACGAAGCCGTATTTTATTTTCTACTAAAATCATCAACTAGTGATGAATCTTAATATGAGATCAATTCTCACTTTTTATACGAGGACCATGTTCTCATTTGAATAGGCACATACATATACTATTAGTCCTTAAATTTTATGCATCTAGGAAGTACATGGAGGTTCAAATGAGAACATTATTCTCCTGTAAAAATTGAAGACGGATGACAACTGCCTATTTTGGTTTATCAATAGTTGAAGATTTTAATAAAAAAAAAATATGGGTCAATTTTACAACAACAACAACAACAACTGTTGTTGTTATTGTTGTTGTGAAATGTACATCATTTTAGGTCATTTTATATGTTAACCGTTAATATTAAACTGCTAATTTTACCTAACGTCTTTTTACAAATCGATGATACAATAAACTGATCAAAATCACTAACACAATATGCTATCTGCTTATTGCTAACACAATTAACTAATCGATAATTGCAAATTGCCAAACAAGGCCTATACCCTCCTATCAATCTTGTGTGGTTTATCAATATTTTTAAATAAAAAGAAGAGGAAATTTCAATTTTGGTCATATGACTATAGGGGTCTTGTTAATTTCAGTCCTTGACTTTTAAAAGTGTCAATTTAGTACCTTAACTATGCAATTTTTGTCAATTTTGGTCACTCCGGTCAAATTGCCGGCCAAATTTTGCCGGAAAATTATAACTGTTAAAATAATGAGGATATTTTGATTATTTCACATCTCTTTTCTTCTTCTCAGGCGAGTCCATCCCTTCCTCTCCCATTTCCGGTTAATGTAATGAACTAAGATGATGGGGAAAGGAGGCTTGATGATATTAAAGATAGGGTTTAGAGGGAGAAAGAACGCCGGAAACGGGAGAGAAAGAGATAGATTCGCCGGAGAAGAAGAAAAGAGGCATGAAACGACCAAAATACCCTCATTATTTTAACTATTAAAATTTTCCAGCGAAATTTTGCCGACAATTTGGCCGGAGTGATTAAAATTGACAAAAATTGCATAGTTAAAGTACTAAATTAACACTTTTAAAAGTCAAGGAGTGAAATTAACAAGACCCCTATAGTCATATGACCAAAATTGAAATTTCCTCAAAAAAGAATAATAATGTCAATTTAGCCAACCTGTTTAGACCGTTACACTTGTCAAACCAGACTAGTTGGGTTTATGTTATCCTTACCAACGTAATACTCTCACTTTTAGAAATCAATCCTACTTTGACATCATAAAATTTAAAATTCACTTAATATTTTCTTTACATGCTTGTCATACTCTTTAATTTTCAAAAGTAATACACTGATTTTAAAAAATTTAAAAAAAAAATACATTTTTGGTCATTCAATTATACCCGTAATACAAACTTTAATCCCCGAATTATATGCGTGACTATCTTTAACTCCTAAGTTATGCACGAAGTAGCAATTTAAGTCCTTCAACGACTATTTTTGCTACCAATTTGTTATTTAATAAAGTAGATGATTTAGTCCTTCAAGGACTAAACTTCCCGCATAATTTAGAAGTTAAAATGGTCATGCATATTACTCAGAAACTAAATTTGTACCACGGGTATAACTGAAAGACTAAAAAAAAAAAAAAAAAAAAAAAAAAAAGGAAAAAAATGCTACTTCAGAACTCAGAAGTGTATATTCATGCTCTTGCATTGAATCAATTACAAAATCTAACAATGACTTACAATAACTTTAATCCATGAGCTCTGGTTTTACAACCCATTGCATCTCTACTCACTAAGTGAAACTCGGAATTTCTCCAGCAGTTTTCCATCCCTAATTCCCTACTATATATCAAACACTATGCAAGAGCGGGGGGAAAGACGACACACAATAATTCATACAAACGCATTTTTACACACAAAAGGATAGGGGCGACATAGCGTGATCGAAGGTGGCATTACAGTTTGGAAAACATTATGCTGACTTCTTTTGCTATATTATCAAATGGTGTTACCCGAGGTGCATATATGCCATAAGTATACCGTGTGCTGAAGATCCAAGCTCTCTTGCTCTACTCGCAATATTGTACATTGGTTTCGTACGCTCTTTCCACCTATTTCACGGGACGTTGGATCTTAGGTTTGGCACCCTCCTGCAATTTTGAAACGAGGATTAAGGGAACGAGGAAACAAGTAATTTCCTTAAAAGAAATGCAAACCCCAATAGAATTCACTATAAATTTCCAGGCAAACTACATTTGTGATACGACTCCAACTTCAGCTATAAATTTCCACAAGAGTAACTTGCCGGATTCTTGAAGAAAGTTTGATGGCATAGATTGAAAATATTGAATCGGACATAATTTAATCTTTCGAGTGTCAAGAGATAGACCTATCTTACATATTTCTAGCTTGATCATACCTTAATCTGGAGGGAGGAGATTCAGGTATAACATACTCTAGGGGTGTCAAAGTGAGCCGAAACCCGTGGGCCAGCCATAAACCGCCCAGCGGTGCGGCGGGTTGGGGCCTAAAATTTTTGGCCCGTGAAAATGCAGGCCTCGCGGGCTTGGCCCAGGCAGGCCACAGGCAATAGTTATGCTGTGCAACCGAATGTACCATGCGCATGGTGCATACGGTTCAAAACGACGTCGTTTTGATTAAAAACGCGCGTCCCACTTTAAAAAAAAAAAATCAGGTTCGACTCTCAGCAATAGCATTATTGTGGATATATAGTTATGAAATTGTGGATATATAGTTATGAAATTGTGGATATATAGTTATGAAATTGTGGTTATATAGTTATGAATTTATGGATATTTAGTTCATTCATTGTGCATATTTAGTTCAATCATATATTGTGGATATTTAGTTCATTCATTGTGGATTTTTACTTCATTCATTCATTCATTGTGGATTTTTACTTCATTCATTCATTCATTGTGGATTTTTACTTCATTCATTCACTGTGGATATATAGTTATGAAATTGTGGATATTTAGTTCATTCATTGTGGATATTTAGTTCAATCATATATTGTGGATATTTAGTTCATTCATTGTGGATTTTTACTTCATTCATTCATTCATTGTGGATTTTTACTTCATTCATTGTGGATTTTTACTTCATTCATTCACTATGGATATATAGTTATGAAATTGTGGATATATAGTTATGAAATTGTGGTTATATTTTTTTTTTTTTGAGTATGAAATTGTGGTTATATAGTTATGAATTTCTGGATATATAAAAATGCTATTGCCGGGAATCGAACCTGATTTCTTCTTTAAGTGGGACGCGAGTTTTTTTAACCAAAACGGCGCCGTTTTGCACAATCGTTATATCCTACACCACGGCGCACATAACACTGTGCGCCGCGCGCCTCCCAAAACGACGTTGTTTTGGGTAGTGTTGGGAGGCGCGGTAGGAAGTTGTTGAGATTATGTGTATTTGTTCACAGCGTTATGTGTATTTGTTCACAACGTTATGTGTATTGGTTCATACAGTTATGTGTATTTTTTATACAATTATGTACATTCTTTTTATACAATTATGTACATCCGAATCAGAAAATTTGTATGTATTATGTTAAGAGTTGATGTGTATTATGTTAAAAGTTTATGTTTATTATGTATTATGTTAGATTATGTGTATTATCTTTTAAAAAGAGTATGTATATTTTGTTATATAATTATGTACATTCATGTATAACATTATGTGTATTCTAGTATAACATTATGTACATTCTTGAACAGCGGGTTTTTTTTTTTAAGAAAAACTACTGCCATTCACTGGGGCGAGAAATTTAAAAAAAAATAAATAATTAAAACGACGTCGTTTTGCATCTGGGCACATAGTGCAACGCGCACCGTGGTGTAGGATATAAATTGCCCGTTTTACAACCGTATGCACCTTGCAAGGTGCATTCGGTTGCACATCATAATTTGCGGGCCACAGGCTAACAATATTGTCATGATCTTGCATGATGAAGAGGCAGAATGGAAGGGGAAACTAAGGAGAGAAGATCAGGAGAAGTCTCAGATTTATAAGCTAAGTGTGGAGGAGAAAGTCGAAGGACCAAAGTGTCATCGTTTTGAAGCCGGAAATAAACAAACTCTCACTAATCGAAACGACAGCGTTTGAAGTTGGCAGTTGGGGTCGTTGAGATTAAATAAGCAAACGATGTCGTGGGGGGTTAGTCGTTAGAAGCGGTTGCTGAACTCCATCAGACGGCATCGTTTTGAAGACCAGCTAAAGAAGACAAGCAGAAATGGTGGAAGTCGTTGCAGATTCCTTTGTTTTTTAGCTTAGCTTGTTCTTATTAATTGCGGGATGCTTGTTATTTTGTTTATGCTTGTTTTTACAGAATTGCTGAGCAATCAAAAACCCTAAAATCCCTTTCTTCTCTAGAACCCTAATTCTATTCTTCTACTCCTTTATCCCCATTTCTGTTCTGTATATTGAGCAAGTTTGCAGGTCTGTGACAAATATATAATACTAAACATTAAAAAATTAAAACTTTCTAATTTCTAAACACAGAAGAATCAAATATTATTTAGGTTAAATTATTAGAATATAGAATAATATATTATAATATATTTTTTAAATTCTTGAAGTTGGCCTGCGAGCCCACATGATGCTGGCTCAATCGTTATACCGTGCACCAGGGCGCACATAGCAATGTCAATGTGCGCCCCGCGCCTCCCAAAACGACGTCGTTTTGTATTCTGTTATAAAATTATGTGTTTTCAGGTATAAAATTCTGTACATTCGAAACAGGGAATTTTTATCTTTTTAAAAAAGATTATGCGTTTTCAGGTATAAAATTATGTGTTTTCTATTATATAATTCTGTACATTCGAAACATGAGAATTTTCAGTTATAAAATTCCGTGTTTTCAGGTATAAAATTATGTGTTTTCAGGTATAAAATTATGTGTTTTCTATTATATAATTCTGTACATTCAAAACATGAGGATTTTCAGTTATAAAACTTGTGTTTTCACTTTTCAGGTATAAAATTCTGTGTTTTCTATTATACAATTCTGTACATTCGAAACATGAAAATTTTTTTTAACAGCAAACACGCGAAAAGTCAAAACGACGTTGTTTTGGGCCAGGACGCACAATGCACTGTGCGCTCTGGTGCACGGTATAATTTGCCATGCTAGCTAGGGTTGAAGAATTCTAGCTTGCGGGTTTTGCGGGCCAGCCCACAAAGGCCTGCAAAATTTACAACCCGCGGTGGGGCAAGCCAGCCCGCATTGACACCCCTAACGTACTCTTTCCATTACTCAATATTTACCCCTGTTGCAAGTTCTACTAAGCAATTCATTTTTCTCTTCAGATTTGGAATCTGCATTACTTCTAAAATGGTTCTCGATACTTATGCGGTGAGGATGCTACGTACTAGTACTAACCTTCTTTAATATTTCATTGGTTCCATCATTTGTTGAGCCAATTGATGGTTTGTTCGTAATCATTTTTCTCCTCTCTATGCCTGCATCCATAGGTGCCCTATTCCCAAATAGAGTAATTTAGAATTTCGCTTCTTTAAATCGCCAAAAAATGAGACAACTACATTTAATGGGTGGAAATAATTCATTAATGCATAAAAAGGGAGCCGATTTATATTATTTTGACTAGTGTCACAATGGCAAATTATACCATGGACCAAGGTCTACCTTGCATTGTGGACTCTGGTCCAAAATAACCTTCAGTTATGTGTCTGCAGTTAACATATTTTGTACCTGCAATTAACAGTTTATGTGCCTATATATAAATTGAAGGCACATAACATGTTAACTACAGACACAAACTATTAACTGTTGATACAGAATATGTTAACAGACACAATATATTATTAACATATTATGTCTCTATATTCTGTACCTGCGGTTAATAGTTTATGTGTTTGTAGTTAACATGTTATGTGCCTTCAATTTATTTACAGGCACATAAACGGTTAACTGCATGTATATATCAATTGAAGACACATAATTTTTGGACCAGGGTCCACAATGCAAGATAGACCTTGGTCCATGGTATAACAATTGTGCAACAATTCACAACTTAGAGACAGTAAAGAACCTTTCTCCGATGGCAGCTTTAAATTACAAAAGTTAATTTCAGTTAGGTTTTAGAGCAAAGTTGAGTGTTAAAGTAGCTTTACATTTACAGCTCGCTATTATTAGTTGAACCCACAGACACAATAACAAAAACTCCATATGGAGACCAGTATATCTTATTTCATCAAGTGGGACTATTTCTTTATCTTTTTACACTATTATCTTTTCCAGGCTGACTGAAAAAAGATGGTGACAGAGGTGGGGAGACCTCCTTTTCAAAGCAATCCCACATATGAGAAAAGGTCGACTTTTTCATACAAAATTTAGCAGATCCCCGAAAGTCGAAAGAACTATTATTGCATGTAGAGAAACAAACAAGGCAGCCTCTAAACATAATGTGAGATATATATAATGTGAGGGGGCCTGGGGGGGCACATAATTTGTCAAAAATCTGACCTTGATGAAACAGAACTTGATTTTGTCCCCGATTGGCCTTTTTGAGTAGTTACTCTTTGATTTGGCTTCCCCAATCTACAATATAGATGAAATTGTTCCGATAAAATTAGCGGTATACTATAGAAGATTATATCACATCAATCCACGCTTCACCAAGTATAAGATTGTTTAAAGTGCAAATCATGTGTAGAGGAATGCCAAAAAAAAAAAAAAAAGAACTTCCTCGAGTAAGAACAAATTTTCTGCACTTCTGAGAGAATTTTGTTATAAACAGGAGCTAAACAAGTAACATAGGAAATCAGTACTATTTCTCGAGCTCCTTCACAACTTGATCCTAATAGTAAATCATTTTTCTGCCCTATCTTGGTGAAAGTTGTAAATCTATTTAGCAATGTGGAATAGGTTTTTGACTATATATATATATATATATATATATATATATATATAATCATAATCATAATCATAATCATAATCATAATCATAATCATAATCATAATCATAATCATAATCAGGTGAGAACCAACTTTAACCCACGAACCTGCATACTTCTGAAAGGTTGCACCACAACTACTACATGATTGCACCGCTACGGCTTCCAAACATGCCTGGAGGACTGCAAGGGTGTGATGCAATCATATAGTAAGTGCGGTGCAATCCTTCAAAAGTTTGCAGGTTCACACATTAAGGCAGAAAAGGGTTTTGATGGCAACAAGATTAGACTAGTCACCATAAAAGATTAAGCGAATCTTGAGATGGGAAAGAAAGTGGCCCAATGAAAGCAAGCAAAATACTATTCAAAGGTAAAGCATGGGGAGTTAATAATATAAGCTACACATTAAAATTACCTTCCGTTCTCTCCACTATGAGTTAGAGAAGTGGAAATCTTCTGCTCGGGTCCTTTAGATGTCATCTAATAAATAACGAGCAGATTAATGAATAACGAGCATAATTTGTGATAGTGTGATTTCATTTATAAACCAACCAACCTGTCCTGATCCACTATAGCTTTTATCACCCGAAGATTTCATTTCATTGAAACTGTTTCTAAAAGTCTTGAATGCCCGCTTTACAATCTCCTTGTCCCCCATTCTATCCATAATCAAAGACCTTCCCATTGCAATACGAGATTCCACGGGTTTTGCTGGTCCAGTCTCCGTAATCACAGATCTTCGCATCATGTTTTGAGATGCAGCAGAATTTGCGGGACTCAAACTGAGGGACATGTGCAAAGAAGTTCGTGCTACCCGCTTGTTATCTGTGATAACGGGAGAATTATTCTTGCTCCTATGCAACGATGACCCCCCGTTCTGAATCCTCGTGGAAGATTGAGGAGACACAACCGACCTAGGAGGAGCTAGTTTCTTGCTTTCTGTCACGGGAGTATTCTTGATCTTCTGCAACGATGACCCGTTTGCCTTTTTCGTTGGGGGCAGAGAGGGAGACCCGAGTTTGGAAGATGGTGCGGGGGATACTCTAGAAGGGGTAACTTTAGAAGATTTCAAAGCAGGTGATGCCAATTTTTTCTTTGTCCCAGCAGATGTCGAATCATTCATAGATGGATGTATCTAAAAGTGTATTTTTTAAACCAAAAGAACAAAAAAAAAAAAGCCCATTATTATGCTAGTGATATCAAGTCAATTAGATAGGGGTCTGAAAAGCGAAAACCAACTGTTAGAGAAGATCCAAAATTCACCTTTCGGTTATGTCCTTTGAGGTTCTTGTCCTTCTTCCCGGGGGATTTCCCGCTGTCATTATCCGCTTTCACCTTCTGTTCCACCATCACGACATCGTCTTCGAGGTTCTTTCGAGAAGTTTCTTCTCCCTCTTCAACCCGGGGGACAATTTCATCTCCATTGCTTATTTCGGGGCTAGCCTCGTTACAAATCGAGTCTTCCTTAGCCGCCTCCTCAACATTACAAACTATATCTATAGCAATAGAAGCATCCTTTGACTCATTAGCAGTCTCGCTATCCAAAGGACAAATTATAGTAGGCTCGAGCTGAACCTCAGCCTCGGATCTTTCACCACCATTAGACGGGCCAAAGCCATTTTCAACCACTTCAAAAGGAGCTTCCTGCTTAGATGATTCTTCGGGTCTCGAATTATCAGGCTCCACCTCCTCCACTAGCTTCTCCGGCTCCTCCAATTGGTCCACCTTCCGGGCAGCAATCTTTTTGTAGTGGGCTTCAAAGTATGCCTTCTTCTGAGCTACAGATCCGGGAGTTGAACATTTCTCGACTTCTTCCAAATACTTGTTTGGCGAAAACGAAGACCATTTCTCCCAAGATAGCGAAGAATCACTCTCAAACTTCCCAAACGAAACCGATACTTCCAGCCCTGCCCGACTAGAAGCTGCTGACTCACTCATCATCTATTACACACACCAAAAAATTTCTCTACTTTCACAATAAAGTTCAAACAACAACAGAAGTTCAGCTCAAAATAGCATAAACAACATTAAATTAAACCTTCAATTATGAGACAGAGCAATCAAGAGCACAAAACCCAGAATCATAAAACTTCTAAGAATGAAATCTTGTACCTTAATTTCAACAACTGGTCGGATCCACCAGTTTGGTTTTGCAATCCCAATGATGAAGGGGTAAGAAAGCTTTAGAGAGAGAGCTATCAATCACAGCAATACACAGAATCTAGACACCATATCACGGGGGGCAGATGCATTAATTCACTCAACCATAAAGAAAAACAAACAGATCAAAACAATAAAGACCAAACAAAAGTAGAAAAACACTCCCACCAGTCAATGGATCCCCATGTGCTATGTTCCTACATTACTAGGAAAAATTGCAATTTTAACTTCAAACCCTTATCCATACAGCTTCTTACAGCTATATATCCAAGCAGAAAATAGAAATCTTGTCTGTTTCTGGGTCTTTCTTGAAACCACCCAAAATGATAACCTTAATCATCATTTTTTTTTAAAAAAGGAGAAAAATAATGAGCAAAGTTGCTAAATTTCTTACATAATAAGTACAAAAGGTGCAATGTCCTTTTTGCTACAAATCTTTCTTTAATTGAGTCATAAGAAAAGGTTGAAAAGTTGCAATCTTTGTGGGTTTTAAGGCGCTATAATAATAAAATAAAATAACAGAAAAAAGATGAGCAAAGCAAATGCAATGATGCATTTCACCAAAGAAAACTACAGTGATGAAGAAGAGGGTGGAAAATGAATAAAATAATTGCTAGCTAGAGGGTGGCGTACCTAAAACAAAACCTTGGGATTGAATTGAAAGAGTAGATGAAAGAGACAGGCAAACTGAGATAATGATCAGATCGGGCTAAACTAAGCAGTAGATGCAGATGTGAAGGAGAAAAGGGCAGGTAGATAGATGAATAGATGATAGAAGGCAGCAAGGCACAAACTACAGTGAAGCAAGAGAAAAAAGTTAAGGTGCTGTTTGGTTCCAAATTCCAATGAGGGGACAATGAGGTATTTTATTTATTTTTTTTTTCCCTTTTGCATCATGGCTAGAGCTCTTTAATCCACTGTATATGACTTAGTTGCATTAATTGTTTTGATCTATTGGGTTGGAAATTTTATATTTTATTAATATGAGCCCGACTTTCCATCTCAATCCAAACCCAAACCCCGCGCCTAGTGGTAGATGTGCCTCGAACAACTAGAGTCAGCCGGTCATTACTAGCCACCACAGGGGACTTTAACACCCCTAGGCATACAACGGGGTAGGCGGTCGAGCGGTGGTTGGCAAGGGGGCTTGATGTCCATTCATTTTTCCATTGTCTTTGACTCCAAGAATATTATAAATAAGGGTCTTGTAAGGGGTTCAGACATCATAATCCAGACGGACCAAACACACTTCTCTCTCTTTCTTCTTTTAATCTTCTCTCTCCTAACGTAGTCCACTTTGGAAAACTAGTTGGCAAGAGTCTTGTGCTAGTCAACAGTGCCATTGTTTTGGACCTAAATAATCCAAAATTGTTTATTTATTCGAGTGTATCCTGGAAAAGGATCTATTACGATCCGTTCTATCATTCGATCTATTTCAGTTATTTTTTTGTTGCTAAAAAATAATATCAATGATCAATTTTATGATGGGTATGGTCCAATAAAATTATTATTGGTACCGCCAATAATGATTGCTATGAAAAGTGTGTGCTCCTAAATTCACTAAGTCCAAAAAAGTTATTTTTCAGTTCGATATACATATATTGTTTATACTAAACCCAAGATCACAAGATCTACAAGAGTGACTTAGGTAGCACGGGAAGGAATCTTCTCACTCCCGGGGGTTGAAATCTCATCAAGAAGAATGAAGGGAACAAACCAACACCCTCAAAGTCAGAGGCGATATCTGAAAGGTGGAAACCAACTTAGGCCCCTAGGGAGTCGAGCCCAACACCTCAAGCCAAATGAAGGCAAGCAAAGAAAAGATGGAGGCCACGAGCTAGGGAGTTCTAAGGAGCAAAGGAAGGAACCTATAGGGATGGAGCTAGAGCCTGCTCCAAATGAGGCAATGGAAGAGAACACCAACCAAACCTCATTCTATTGGGGTCAGTGGGTATATAACGGAGCAGTAGTCCTGAAAGAGTGGAGAAATAAGGTTGAAATCATACTAGAGGAATTAATGCGTTAGAAAGAAGAAGGTGAGTTACCTGTGATGTCAAAAATTATTGTCGCACTCTCTTTCACGAGGCAGATTATAGAATAGTCCTTGTCTGACAACTTCAAAAATCCTAATGTGAAAAGGTTTGATTGGGCAAGGGATTCGTAGGAACAAATCTTAGCTTACCAAGTTGCGATAACATTCTTAGGAGCAAATGATGCAATAATGCATACAACATTTTTCGATTTCTCTCAACCTTGGTTCATGGGGTTACCATGAAGATCAGTTGGTACCTTTTATATCATAGCAGTTAAATTTATGACCTACTTCATGTTGCGAAGAAAGGCCATGAAACACTTTTTGTACAAGGCCACAATAAAATAAAAGCATGATGAACCAATCACCAATTTCCTAGCACGCTGAATTGTGGAAGTGGTTGAAGTCAAAGGGATAGAAGACAAGTTAGCCGAACTGGCGATCTTGCATGATGGATTGTGGAGGTGGTTGAAGTCAAAGGGATAGAAGACAAATTAGCCGAACTGTCATCAATCGCCGTCTATCAGAGAAGGAGATCAGTTGGTGTTGATGCCAAAACTCTAATGATCTGTAATAGCAAACTCTAATGATCTGTAATAGCAAATCATTTGCCAGTTTTTTAGACTTCATTACTTCAATATAATATGTTAAAGAATGTAATTTACTGTTTAAAAGTTTAAGAACTTAATTTACTTTTCAAGTAAAATTTAAGAACTAATTTAACCCTTTTTTCTAAATAATATAAAGGTAAAATCAACCCTTTTTCCTAAATAATATGAGGTAAAATCAACCTAAATACTTGTGTGGTATATATATTGGCATCACAATTGAAACTCATTAAGTTTCATCCCTTAATTTAAAAATAAAAAAATGGCCAAATAGACACTTTTTGAATTATACATTAAATACTCCGTAATAATTAGATTCTTAAACTATATAAAAAATAGTTCAATTGAACATTTCGACTAGTCAAACTGATACAACAGAACCGATAACCTATCAAATCAATGCAACTAAACCCATTAACCTGTAAACTCCATATAAAAAAACTTATCAAATGCTAGTCCACAATAGACCAGACCAGGATTGCAATTACAGACAACTAAGACTAAGACGGTGACTGTAATAATTATAATCATACAAAAACTTGAGTAAAGAACCAAAATTGAATTTAGATCATATTGGAAGGAATACCAAAAATGGATGAATGCCAACCAGCTGCTTGAGCTAAGAAATATGTATCCAACCTCCTCGCACAAACAAATATGTATAGTCGTATAGATAAAAGCAGAGGCAACCTTAGCTGGTTTACCTCCTTGTGGTCTTTTGCCGGCTAGGGTCACAAGACGGATTTACCCAGTACACATCTCGAATAGTGGCGGCAGATTTCGCTCATCACTATAAAAAAAAAAAAAAAAAAAAAAGGGCAGAGGCCTGCCTAAGAAAAGTGAATTCCAGCCTTGTTGAACAAAGAAAGTAGGTGCATGAAATCTACTTGGGTGAGTTTGGAAGACCTCTTATCTTCAAATTTCCCTTGCTTCAACACTGACAAAACTTTTTCTTTGAAATCTGATCCTTTAGCATCACCATCATCCATATCCATCTCATTGTCATCATCCCCATCGTCGATCCCCATACTCATGTCCCCGAGTGTATCTCCTAAGGCTGATACAGCCAAAGACATGTCGACTGTGTCCTCGAAGGATCCATTCTCAGGTATCTGCAATGCTTGCAGGGTTTTGTAGTTCTTTTCTAGCAATGAAAGCACCGTCTTTTGTCTAAAAATTGCACCTAGAGTTTTATTCTTCCTATTGAAGCAGATTCGAACTAAACCATCCCACTCCTTGAAGTTGAGATTTTGAAACGGCTTCATTGGCTCAATTCTGACTACTGAAGAATCAACCTTAGGTGGAGGTCTGAAATTGTTTCTTCCTACCTTTAGAAGATGGGAGACTCGAGCTAACAGTTGAGTGTTGACAGAAAGGCGGCAATAAAGAGTATCTCCAGGCTGAGCAACGAGCCTCATGGCAAATTCCCTTTGAAACATAATAACTGCAGCCCTGAACAGTGGCCTATGAGACAGTAATTTGAAAGTAAGAGGAGACGAGATTTGGTATGGGATATTTGCCACACAGATGTCAAAGTATGGAAGATCACACTTCAGAACATCCCCTTGTATAATCTGTTGGACCATAACATAGAGAAATGAATTAATAGCATTCCGGGTATTAAAATTCCAATTTTTTTTGGTTCCTTTAAACAACACATTCATAATCATTTAACTATACAGTTAAAAAATCAGTAGAATTTGCAGTTGAATACCAAGCTGAATAAAAGAAATTACCTTTAGCTTACTAGGTGGAGTTCCTTGAAATCTCCGTTGCAGCTCGAGAACCATACGAGGGTCAAGCTCAACGGCTATGACGGACTTTCCGGCTTCTAGAAGCTTCTTAGTCAAGTTACCGGTACCTGGACCGATTTCGAGGATGACATCGGTTGGTTTGATGCCAGATTTCTCGACGATTGTGTCAACTAACATAGGATTTTTCAGTATGTGCTGACCTTTGGACTTGTGGAATTGAATTCCGCCCTGATAGTGAGGGTTTGTGCCGCCAGTTCCAGCGGAGCCACGGTGACTTTTTTCTTTGCGTATCTTCCCTCCCGCCATGGTGAATGCTGCGCTCTGAAGAGAAACCCCTAAGAAGGTTACAAGCAGCTTTTGGCTTTCTGAGATCATATAGGTAGAAACATATTACATATATCATAACATCCATAGAACAAGAACCATGGATAGGTTCCAAAACGTGCAGGAAAAGGATAAACATCACATCTAAAACTAAACATATGTACGTATGTACATACATACATAATAAGTAATAAGTATTTTACTAATCTAAGGCAAATTTGACAGAACAACACAAAAAGAGTCTACGATTAAAGGTGGTACTGTACATATTACAAAGTATCTACTATCTAAGCATTAAACTTTAAATTTGTATGCATAAATGAATATGCAATGGTTAATGCTTATAAAAGCCTGTCCATAAACACTAATTTACTAAAGTATGGAATATACAAGACTGAATATAAACAGTTGATTCATATTTGTAGAATTCTCCATTCAGCTAGTGCCCGACTAAACTTTTAAGGTAAATTAGCAAATGATATTAATCCCATATCATAAGTCCTTTTCGGGTCCCTTCCAAGTATCATCTGACTGAAGGGATTCATTGCTCCTACTCTAAGTAACCATTGGACTTAAGATTTAGGTTTTATAGTACATATCATTTCAACTGAAGCTAGAATTTATGTGAATATTAT